GGAATGAGCTGGAGTGGAGGGAGATGGCAATTGTAGAGACGGAGGTAGAAATCAAAATAATGAAATGGCTTCAGTCACTGGTCAAGACAAAATCAAGGGAACAGGAGTAAGTGGCTGAGTAGAATGCAAACAAGGTCATTGGACAAGAGGAGTTTGAAAACAAAGAATCTATCATAAAGTAGGATGATTTGTGCAAAAATTAAAAACTGTAAATTATGATGAGTACTATTAAAGGAAATAATATTCCAGCATTTAAAAAGTTGAAGAAACTAAAACCAATGACCTAGAAATCAAGAGACAAGTGCAACAACGAAGGGGGAAATGCAGTATAGTCAGTAGATATGATATTCAAAACAGGGAATTTTTATAAAGGAAAAAAGAGTGAAGGTTAAAAAAGCAAGGGGATAGATGCAAGCACGATGCCTACCCCACCACAAGGACCAGGGTTATAGAGGACTGGAGAGAGCATAACTATCATTTCAGAGACTTGAAGAGAAAGCAGAATGGAATGTTCAGAGAATACAGTATATTGAGCATAGGAGGAATTTTGCTGATGATGTTCTCCAAGAACGGCTGCTGTTCTGTCTTTCCTCCACAACAATGCACTTTCATCTTTCTAGGAAAAAAACCTGGTCATGGTGCTCTTCTGCTTAAAATCCATCAGCAGGTCACAGTCGCTTCAAGCGTATGCACAAGACTAGAATACCCTAGGACTCCTACAAAGCTCTCTCCAGCCACTTCTCCTACCTGTTCCTCATATTGCCTCTTCTCATCTATAGGCCATTGGCAGCAGTGATGCAGGTGGACCTGGGCTGCCTGACCCCACTCTATTAGCCTTTCTTGTGTGTGCAGTAATTTCAATCAGCCAACCACTTATGCTCCCTGGTGTTCAGTTTTGTCGTATCTAGAATAAGGTAGTTAAATTCGGAGGTTATTTCCCTGGGAACCTATGACTATTTGAAGAATTAAGCAGAAAAGCGACATTCTTTATAATGTAAGAATCTCTTAGGTATTTTAGGACATTTAGGATAAGTGGCCTTGTCTATTAATTGCCAATTATACCCATCAGTCATTGATCCAACCAAAAGTATGCCCACACATTTTCTAAACACGTCATATTGTAGGGTAACCAGATAAAATGCAGGCTACCCAGTTAAATCTGAATTGGAGGTAAACGAATAATTTTTTATATAAGTATGTTACAAGTATTGCAAGGGCATCTTCTGGTTTTATTTGTTAAAACTGGCAGCCCTACACATGGGAAGCCCTCCTGAGTAGAACTATGTTTGTAGTCAGCCAATGTAAAAATTGCACCCCTAGAGTTGCTCAGTATACAACCTACGCAATTAAATGTAGACACAGTGCTTGGGGTTCAATACAAATCCCAATGAGAACACTGTTCAGGTTATTAGATCAGTTGCAGCACTAACATTTCCATAATTCAACTATCCAGTGGTGCAATGTGCTAAGGAGCTGCGGGATGCATGCACAAAAGCCCAATCTGAGAAAAATTTTAAATCAATTATTTTGAGATCCAGTGCTATTACTCTTTCTACCCTCTTCATTTCTGTTATTGATTTCTCTCTTCATTGACACTGGATCATGTTTCTCCTCGAGAATAAAAACAATATTGTTAAATTAAAGAAGTAGTGTTTAGTATGTTACCCACACCTGGAATTACAAATGAGGACTTCAAGAATATTATAAGTGTAAACACAGAGAATAATTAGCTAGTGTTGACATTTCAGACACTAATTGAAAAGATATTCTGCCTACTGTTGAAGTTTAATAACCATTGGGTGGGTAGGGCAAAATGTTGCCCAAGAAGAATAATTGAGTAGTTGTCAAAAAGCCAAAGAAATTCAAATTTCCCTTCACCATTTCTGCAGACTAAAGTTTCACTTTAAACTTTCAAAGAAACACTTTGATTTGGTCAGCTCCCTGATTAAGATTATAGATATATTTTTCTCAGGATAGATTCTTCTAAAATAAGGTCAAAAAAGATCTATATGTAGTGATCAAAACTGATTTACTACAATGAAAAATATTTGTATTAAAAAACCAATGAGTTCTATATCTAATGAAAGACTTCTGTTTCTGTTAACAAATATTTACTGAGCAAAAATACTGTATTAGGCATGACTGAATGATAATCTCTGCTCTGAATAGGCTAACAAAAATAGACAGCATGCTAGAAATTTGGGTGCGTGGGTGGGTAAGGGTGGAAAGGATGGAGTAATGAGTACGTAGGAAGACAAGGAAGTAAGAGAACATGACATATTTCAAAAAATAACTGTAATTCAGCAAAATTCAGTATGATGTACTAGAAGAGAAATGGTGATAGCTGAAGATAGGGAAATGAACAAGATCCCAATTAAAGGTCTTATGAGCTTTGTTAAGCAGTTGATCTTTTTCTTAAGAGCCATGGGGAGCCACTGCCAACTTTTAAACTGTTACTTATCAGGATTCTATTTTGAAAGATTAGTTTGGCAATTATGTAGAGAATAGATTGAATTAAAGGGCATCAGGATAAGAGTTGGGAACCTTTGCTGTCACTTGGGTGGTAAGTGATGATGCCAGAACTAGGAAGATGGCAGTTTAGCTGGAAGAAATGAATAGGTGACATATTTATGAGGTGAAATCTATAGGACTTAGCAATTAATTTTACATGTGAGGTAAGGAATACTGAAGAGTCCAAAAAGATTTTGATCCTGGACACAAAAGAAGTAGCAAATTGAGGGGAAAGAAAATGCATTCAGTGGTGCACTTTTGAGATTTTTATTATCCTTAGAACAGTCAAGAGAGCCAATAAACAGGTATTTTGATATGGAAGCCTAAGGTTCAGGAGAACAACATGGGATAAAGGTTTAAATATGCGGGTCATTATAGAAGCCACCAAACTAGAAAAAAAAGTGGTAATAAGAGAGATGGGCCTGGAAGTGAGGGACTCTAGAACTTAAATCATAAGCAGCAAAAAAAAAAAAAGGGAGGGTGCAGGGGGATCCTGAAAGGAAGTTTAAGGAGAGAGGGTAGAATATATGGAAGAAAAACTAGAAAGACTTAGCATCATAAGCAAATAAAAGAGAGAATTTCACTAAAAATAGATTATCCATATAAGCCAAGAAAGTCCCCATTGGATTTGGAAAAAGAGAATGTTAGGAATGGTGGTAAAAGCATTTTCAGAGGATAGTTAGCAGCAGAAACTTGAATGTAGTCAATCATAAAGTGAGTAATAGTTGACAAAATAGAACCAGTGTGAGTGCTAATAAATATTCCCATAAGTTTGTTTGTGTTGAGGAGAAAGGAATTTAAAACTACAGGATTTTAAAACATTACTGACAGGATATAATTTATGTGTGAGTATATTTTGTTTGATTTGACTCACTGTTAGTTGTTAAAGTGGAGAGAGCTGAACCCACTTTATTCTGATCAGAAAGAAAGGAAGAAGGTGAACATTAAAGTATAGATTGGTATATTCTGCAAGGTTTTGAGGAGAAAGGAATAGAACCCAGGTTACAGGTAGATGAAGGAATCAGCATTGGATGGTATCTTAGTTTTCTAAGGCTGCCATAACCAAGTACCACAAATGGTGTGCCTTAAACAACAGAGTTATATTGTCTCATGGTTCTGGAAGCTGCAAGTCTGAAATCAAGGTGTCTCCAATGTTGGTTTCTTCTGATGACTGTGAAGGAAGAATCTGTTCCATGCCTGTTTCCTGGGCTTATACATGGCTGTCTTCTCCCTAAATCTCTTCATATCGTCTTCCCTCTATGAGTGGCTTTTTAAATAGACAATGGTCATGTTGGATGAAGGGCCCACTGTCCACCAGTATGAACTCATCCTAACTTAACTAGTTATATCTGCTATTATCTTATTTCTAAATATGGTCACCTTCTGAGGTACTGTGGGTTAGGACTTCAACATATGAATTGGGGGGAACATGATTGAACTTACAGCAGGTGGAAAGAGAAACACTTTCATTGTAACAGGAAGAAAAGAGAAAAAACGGCTTTGTAAGTCTATAGATTTAGTGGCAGGAAATTCAGAGATTGCCATCTGCCTTTTATTTTCTTGAAAATGGAAACAAAATCACCAGTGGAAAAGGAGTCAGAAGTGGAAATTTATGATTCCTGGGGGACGAGGTTTGAAAGAGCCATTGCACAGAATAAGAAAGAAGGTTGGCCAGGGTAAATGTCAGGCAGCTTTGACATCAGCCTATCATAATCAGTGGAAATAATTTTTTAGTGGTGTCCTTCAGATAATAAGGTAGGCTCTCATGGGGAGGTCTGCTTAAAACTAAATGTGTGCCAATGTAACTAAGAAAATGCGGTTGTCAGGTTCACCAGTTAGCTCATTCATTTGGAGCCCAGATTAAATCTCAGTTTGTGATCATTCCAGTTTAATAGAGAAGCACACATAAGTAGAGTTTCTGTTAAGGTTTTTAGTATAACCTGTTTCCTACACTAGATTGTGTTCTCAAGAGGGGGATCGTCTTATGCATCTTTCTGTTTTTAAATATCCCCTAACATTACTTAATGCCACCGGTGTGGTCAGTACTCAGGGAGCGTTCCTAGAACTGAACCTTGAGAAGTAATAGTTACTCACTAAGTGAACGTCCATGTCCTACAGAGTAATTTTTTTTTTCAAAGACTAGCCCAAGGGTGCACATTTTCTAGACAAGTAAGGTGTGAGATTCATGCACAATTGTAAAATTCAAGAATGTAAACACAAAGTAAGCTCCAGGAGCAGAGCACACCTGAGCTTCTTGAAGAAATGTAAAATAATCAGACATCCAAATTTATAAAAGATTAGTTTAACTTGGTAAAACTAGAGCATTGACTTAATAAACTTACTAATATATTTTTCTCTTTATGGAGTCTATGACAGGTATCTATTAACAAATAATTGTATTTGGGGGTCAATGTTTTCATATACCAGTATAAAAGAGCAATGAATAGATATAATATATTAAAAGTATTAAATTTTGTCTTGCTTTTCAGAGTGATTGTGTTCTTAATTTTTTCCTCTCTGAGCCTGTGCAACAAACACTTGAAGAATCATCATCTTTGCTCCTAGGCAAGTAATTTTATCATTATTACTATGCACAATTATTGAGTTTAAATATAATTATGCAAAAATGTTACAACTATATATTTTTTCAATTTGCAAATTAAAATTTATTTTTAAGAATGAGTCTTTAAGGGACTTTTCTAACCATTTCCAAAGGTCTTTAATCCTTTATAATATGTTCTTCAATTTATATTAAAACCAGATGTATTTCTCCAATTATAATAACTATATGATGTTATACTATTAATGCATTTCAATTAATTGTGCACTGAGATGGAATTTCACTTCAGAAACAAAGCTCCTGTTTTCCTGTATAGTAAATCTTTCAGTTTGCTCAACATCTTAGGAAGCAACACAAAATAGGCAATAATAATAATCATGAATTATCTAGTGGATTTCATCCTTATCTTTTAAAGCTCAGTAATTACTCCACCTACATCATGAAGTCTTATTTCATTACTAGGATCCCACAGTAGCCCAGCAAAATTATTCACCCTTTTCTGCAAAATGTGTGTAAATTCTTAGTAACTTTGCTATCATTTCTTTTAGATGGACACAGAGACTTTTTTTTGAATGTCTCATCAATTTTAAGCATTTGTAATATAATTCCATTGCCAGTGGCTACCCAATGCTAATCCTGGTCTTTATGTCACACAAAATTTGCAAACCCGTAATTCATAACTTTCCATCTTTATTTTATTCAATCTACCTTCTGATTCCTTACCTTTAGGATTAGGCCCATCTGCTTATCACCTCAGCTCGTGTCTGACATCCTAGTTACTTATCCCTTACAGTCCTGTTCAACCAGATTGAGTTGTGTAGTATAACTATATATTAAGTTGTATATTTATGTTTATGTCTGCCTTGCTTCTGTCAGACTGAAAATAACTTTAAATCAATGTCCCTATTTCCTCACTATCCATTGCTCTGTGCTCAAAAATCCTAAATTAATATACAAGAATTGTGCCTCTCTCATTCCCCCTACATCACTAAAATACTGTTTTATATAACCAAACCACTAAAAATATTAAAGAAATGAAGCAATTTCTTACATTCTATAGCACATACCTAAAAACAATGATGTTCACAATATATGTTTTGTTTTTATTGTCATAATTCCCAAATATCTAATATCTTCTTTTTAAAAATACCATTGCTGTGGAGTACTTTTAAAATCAATATTTATAAACTGAAAAAAACAAATAAAAAAACATAAAGTTGCAGATCTCTAGAGATGTCAGACTTTAAAAAGGTACTAGGTTGACCTCTATTCTGTCATTCAAGACCTTCATAAAAATTGTTTCTCTGTGTTTCAAAATACTGTGGCACACTATCAAATTTTTAATATTGCTGATAGTATTACTTCTCTGCAACATGTTCTGAAATATATATGCACACAAAAAATAAGATTATTATTTTAAAAACTAAACTGGCTTTTTGATAATTCTTTTTTTGGCTTATTTCCAACTACATTATACAATATTCATGATTTGCTTTGGCAGTTATGATCAACACAATATTTGAATCTTAATATTTTTAGATATAGGCTGCATATGAAATACAGTCTATAATCTTAAAACAACAGAGCCATCTAAGCAGAATACGCAAATCATTACAACAAACAAGGATTAACAGAAAGTTGTTCCTTATATTTTTTAATTTCCTTTTATTTTTCTAAATCCATAATACTTTCATCATGGGACATCAGCTGGCTCTAAACAAGAAGCAGAATTGTTTTTAAAGCACTGTTCCTGTCAGTTAGTTGAAATTTTGAGCTTATGTTTTTAAACTATTAGAGGATAAAATTATTCAAGTATATTAAAATATTGGTTTACATAGAGTGACCTTAAGCAAAAATCCAAGACTTCACCATTTTACTACCCTTACTAATGAATTGAGAGAATGAAATCTGGTTACCTAGGTATTCAGGCATATGACTTATAAATATCATATTAGTAATAATTTGTAATCCTGGGTCTAGAATATATGAATATCCTTTTGCCAGACTCACTAAGAAACAAGCTTGCTAGAACAATGAAAGAATGTATTTTTCTCAAGTGCTCATCCAATTATCTTTATGCTCTACTTAACACTTTCCTTGGCTTCCTATTGCCCTTAGTCAGTGCCAACGTCATGGGCCTGTGACCTGTACAGAACTGTCCTGTACTTGGTTTAATGCTCTGTTGTCACTATCTTGAATTTCTTAATAATTTTTGATAAAAGGGACCCTACATTTTTATTTTGCATGTTTGTTTCACTGAGCCTCACAAATTAGGTGGCTGGACCTGTCCTTAAAGTAAAGACCAAAATCCTCAGGGTGGCATCCAAGCATAATCCAAGCACCCACCAATTTCACTTTTTAGTCTAATATCAGGTCCCTTTACATCTCGATTCTTGTCTTTTTAATTCCTTACTACCTCAAAGATGCAATTTTGTCTGCCTGGACCGCTTTACTCCTATTTCAGCCTCTCCATCTTTTTCTGCATCTTTCAGATCTATTTCAATTGCCCTTGCTTTATACTCCTATTCTGTAGACTAGATATCCACAAAGGCATAATCCACATATGTATGGCTCACCACTGTATCCCCAGGGCTGAGCACAGTGTCTGGCCTACTCTAGATGCTCTATAAATAATTACTGAATAAATGATTGATGATAGAAAGAACAACAATGGAAGGCACATGGATATTCTCTACCAATGTAGCATGTTATTTTTATTAAAAGAACTGAGAGAGGAAACCAAAATCCAAAATCATGCTACTCTTCCCACTCTCACCACTTCATATGGGAGTACCCAGGCACAAGGAATCCACTGCCTCCCAACTGCTAGAATTATCCTGAAATATCACTTGGAAAAAAGTCTTCTACAAATTATCACATTAAATATTATAGGCACCAGACTCAACCGAGGCACTAACCAGAAAGTTTCTGGACTTTATCATATATATCCTTTAACTCTCTAGTGATTTGACGTCCCCATTCTCTGCCCAGATTTATATAGCTCCGTGCCAAATAATGCCTCCACAAAAAAATGAAATTATTCATCCTCCACCAGTGCACAAATCTGACACACAGAAGATAGATTTTTGTCCAACTACAGAAACAATAACATAGGTAATGGAGCATTATCAAAGACAAGAGTTGTCAGGGTTAAGAGAATAAATTAATGAACATGTTTAAACACCATAGATAATTACAAATGATTGCAAACAGGAGTTTTCAATCATTACTTGACATCACTGCCTCCAATTTGAAATGCCAGTTTAAAAGGGAACTTGAAGCCACACAGTCTCCATGGCAGGTCCCTCTGGTTACTGTTCTAACTACTTGCTCTGGCAGAGCACAGATTATCTATAGGTTGAAGTGTGTTACCTAGGTTTTCAATTTAAATTTGAATGATATGAAAAGACAAGAAGTGAATGGTTAGAACTGCTTTGATGTTATTACATGTATTGAGTTGTTTTTGAAACTTTGATTTGAAAGCTTTAAATTATTGTGCACTTTACTAAATTATATAATCTCATGTTTTTAATTACAAACTTATTTTAGACTTCTACTTGTGGCTTATGTGGAAAGGAAAAGATGAAAAAAATGAAACTTAGAGGACTGTCTCTAACTCATTTCTGGGTGTCAGAGGACATTGCTGACATCTAACAAATCAAGCAATAAAAAATCTTTGCACATGTAATATTAGTATTAGGGAAAAACTAAGAAAGATCACAACATTGAATATGATAGGGAGGTAGATAAAAGTAGAGTGAGAAAGATTGTAAACACTAATTTTATCTTTGCATCTATTAGGAAACAAACGTTCTCAAGAGAAATAAAAGTCAGAGGATATTAAATAAAAGTAACCACTTTTATAACAAAAGTAAAAGCTTTCCTGAGTATCATAGGTATATAAAAAGTAAAACAAATTACTTAGTATGAAACTTTCTTTAAAAACCATAAAACAAAAATGTTATGTTTCCTTAATAATATAAAACAATAAATATAAAGAGGAAAATATCTTCATTATATCAATAAATGGGCTTATCTAAATATTATCAAAAAAATTACATTTTGAAGTAAAATTTGTCATAACATTATATTTTATGTAAAACACAACTGAAATAAAGTGATTTTAAAAGATTGAAAATTAAAATATAGGCATAGTTAAACTGAGCAAATGCAAGGACATGGAAACTAGAGGTCACAATCTTAACAAAGGTGAGCCTTAGGCAAAGAAACATCGAATTAAATAAGAAAGAAGCTTTAAACTATGAGTACAATTCTCCAGAAATTTTATAAAGTTATGACTACATGTAAAATATATGACAATAACATATGTAAAACATAAATTATGAAACATATAAGGAGAAGTACACAAAAACACTAGTAGAAGGAAATTCTAATTCATTTTTCTTAATTTATGAAAGACCAAGTGGAAAAACATAAGCAGATACATAGAAAAACTAAATAGTAAAATTAATAAGGAAAATTGATTAATTTATATCAGATTTTTTTCCTGAAAATAGAGAATATGTTTACTCTTTAAGTACTCATGAAACTTCCAAGAAAGCAGATTACATATTAGGCTACAATGTAAATTTTTAAAAATTTTAAAAGTAGAAATGGCAAAGACTTTTTTTGCTACTCATGAGACAATAAAGTGAGAAATTAATGAAAAAATGCAAAAAACTAGAAGATACTTAAGTTTGGAGAATTAAAAAAATAATCTCACTTGAACAACTCTTGGATCAAAAAGACTTACAAAGCAAAACTGCAAAATTTCTGAGAACAGCAGTAATGAAATACCACATGTCGGAAACCATGGGAGAAAGATAAAGCAGTAAATCTCACAGAAAAATTGGAATAATTGGTATAAGAGCCACAAGAAACCAAAGGAAAACAAAAAAAAATGAATAAAGACAAAGGTGGAGATTAATGAGTTAGAACACCAAAAACAATAAAATAAATTAGTCTGGGAATTAAAAGTAAGGAATAAAATTAACAAGCCACTAAC